TTTGTTAAATCATTCCTTTATCTCACTTTTTTTAAAGTGACTCAAAAGCTTTTTTTAAAAAATTGTACTGGATTTCTTATAAGTGAGTAAATAATCAAGGATATCTGATGTTCAGCAGTTCTGAAATTTAGAGAATTGCTATATAAATAGTGTGGAGGGGGCCCTGAGTCAGACTGCCTGGGTTCAAATCCAGGCTCTGCCATCTCTAGCCATGAGAGCTGGGACAAGTTACCTAATTTCTCTGTACCTTAGTTTTCTCATTAAAAATAGGGTTCGTAATCCCCACCATATAGGGATGTTGTAGTGATTAAATGCATGTAAAGTACCTGGAATAGTGTTTAGGATATCATTAGTACTCGATAAATATTGTTTGTCATTGTTTTTGTGATATGTTTAAAAGTTCTTTGTTTTAATTATTTCCTTCAAGGTCCACTTATGAAGATATGAACTGGTGGACTGTTTACTCTCACCTGATAAGAGGACAGAATAAAGGGAAGCCCTTTGAATTATCCTCTAGAGATGAGGAAGTCCATTTTACCGTTTTTCTTTAAGAACCCATGCCTGGGCTATCAGAAACACGGTGTCCCCTGTGTAACATTCATGCTTTGAACAGTTTATGTTGTTTTTTTAATAACAAAACAGTAAAACATACCAAGCCCTTTTCTCCTGTGTTCAAGCAGGAAGCACTAAGTAACATGGATGACTACGACAAAACCTGCTTGGAGTCTGCGTTAGTTGGTGTGTGCAGTATCGTTCAGCAGGAATGGGGCGGTGCGATTCCGTGCCAGGTAACCATCAGTTACTTTTCTTTGCCCTAAACTAAAAACATTAACCACTGAGCTGCTTTGATTTTCTTCGGGCTCTGAAACAGCATACATCGTAATTTCCACAAACTGCGTTATACGCTATTGGTATCTTTTTAAAAGAAGGTACTAAATCAACACTAACATGCTCAGAAAGCAGCAAAATTATACCTTAAGGAAAGCATCCTCCTAGTAAATTGACTTATTGCAAACTAGTGTTGTTTGTATAAAGCACAAAGGGCTCACAGTGGAATTTTAGAATTACACTCCCTGGACAGGGTGGTTATAATTTTGAGTGATAGAATCATAAACATCAGAACAATATAGTTTCTTCGTTATCTTAATGTAGCATCTATTCAGCAAACTTTTAACCATCTCAGCTATCTGAGTTGCCTAGAATGTGAGGAATATGGATGTCGTAAAATCTTTACTTAGAGACCCCAGTAAGTCCCGTAGACCACAACTCATTGTTAGTACTGTCTAGTCAATATTAAAGGTTAGTGACTTAACAAGCTGGGTATCTGGTTTTGCTTAAAGTCAAATTAGAGCTGAGTAGTAGCAGAAAAAGAGAATTGGAGGTTTGCTATAAACAGGTATTTTGAGAAGTGGTAGCATGTTTTGAAGGAGGAATCAGAAAAATTGCTAAAAGGAAAATCATATTAGTCTACAACAGGAGTTAGCAAACTTTTTGCATAAGGGGCCAGATAGTAAATATTTTAGGCTTTGCAGGGGTCTGTGGCAACTACTCATCTCATAAAGCAGCCATAGACAATACTTAAACAAATGGGCCTGGCTGTTCTCCAAGAAAACTCTATTTACAAAAACGGGTAGTGGACTGGCCCCTGGTCTATGAGTTTTTATTGTAGGAGCAAACAGGATTCCTCTGTTTCTTTTTTAAATAAAAATAAGATTGTGGTTTCTTCAAAGTCGGGAATACAGGGGTTGATGTAGACAGGGCACGAGGGAATCTGGGGAGTGAAGGAACTGTTCTTTATCTTGACTGTGGGAGTGGTTTACATGACTGAATGTAGTTTTGTCAGAACGCAGAACTGTACACTAAAAAGGATGAATTTTACTGTATGTAAATTATATCTCAGTAAACCCAATTTTTTCTTAAAAGGTTGATTTTTATTACTTCAACAGCTACTGTGTTTTATAGAATATAAACTCTTGGGTTCATGAAGACCCTGAGCTATTATTAAAAGGTTGAATCACTTTAATGAACACTTCTGAAGAAGCCAGTAAATACCTTACAGATCAGTTTCTTTTCAGAAATAAAAAAATTTGGCATCTCACTTCATAAGGCTCCTCTTTTTTTATTGGATATATAACATGTAATATTTCATTATCGCATAGGATCTGGAAAGCTAGTGCCAGAAGTAAACCATTGTATAGCAGTGTTTGGTACTAGAAGAGAGAATCGCCTTGTAGTCAACTCACTGTCTCCCCCCAGAATCATCCCTCCAGGGAGCCTTTGTTAAGCATGCCTGAGCTTTGGTAGTGAGCGCCAGTCCTGACACTTCACATGGTGCAGCCCCCTAATACTGCCTCAATGGCCTGTTATTATCAGGTGAGGGGCTAGGCTGGGGAGAGTGAAAAGAATCCTCCCCGGCAGGCTTGGGAAGCCCGCCCCGACAGGACTGCTCTGAAGCAGTGAGGAAGGGAAAATGATTTTGCAACTGTCATCTATTGTCATATATATATTTTGTTGGCTTTTCAAATTACAGATTGACTGAGGATGCATTTTAAAGGTCTCGTACACTTCCTGGCCTTTATAAACACGTTTTTAAAGTAGTTACCATTTTACCTGACCAAGGCTAGAGTTTGTCATCTTTTGAAAATTAGTGTCAGGGTTCAGACTTCTGCGCTTGCACTTTATAGAAACACATGTGAAATGAGTCTTTGTGCCATTTTTTACATATGTGCCAAGTCCTTATCTAAGAGATAGGGATCTTGCTTTAATACAGCTAAATAAGTATTGCTTATGATTGCTTTTGTCCTTTTTTTTCTTTTTTTTTTTTTTAAAGTGTTAAGAGGTAGGTATTATGGATTGAATTGTGTCTGCCTAAAATACGTGTTGTAAATCCTAACCCCTATACATGTAGAAAGGAGCCCTGGTGGCACAGCGGTCAAGTGCTTGGCTGCTAACCAAAAGGTCAGTGGTTTGAATCCACCAGCTGCTACATGGGAGAAAGATGTGGCAGTCAGCTTCTGTAAAGATTTATAGCTTTGGAAACCCTATAGGGCAGTTCTACCCTATCGGGCCGCTATAGAACAGAGTAGAGTCGGAATCAGCAACGGGTTTATACAGGTGGATGTAACCCCATCTGGGAATAGGGTTTTCTTTATTATGTTAATGAGGCTATATTAGTGTGTTGTGTGTGTCTTAAGCCAATCACTTTTGAGATATAAAAGGAGCAGAGTAGGCACAGAAACAAGCAAGCAGGAATGGGGGAAAGGTAGGTACCATGTGGAGATCTCCAAGGAACGCTGAGAAGAAAGGACCTTTCCCAAGACCAGACAGAGAAAGACTTCCCCTAGAGTAAGCACCCTGGATTTGGACTGTCAGCCTCCTAATGTAAGAGAGTAAATTTCTGTTCATTGAGGCCACTCGCTTGATATTTCTGTGATAGCAGCACCAGATAACTAAGACAGTAGGTTTCTTCTTTTCTTTTAGGTTTAATTAGATATGATACAGTAAAACAAGTAGATCTTAAGTGCACAGTTCACTGAGTTTTGACAAATGTGTACACCTCTATAACGGCTAGGAGTCCCTGGGTGGCACAGCCAGTGAAGCACTTTGCTCCTAGGTGAAAGGTTGGTGGTTCGAACCCACCTGGAGGTGCCCCGGAAGACAGCCCTCGTGGTCTGCTTCCAAAAAGTCACACCTCAGAAACCCTATGGAGGAATTCTGCTCTGCACACGTGGGCTCACCACGAGTCAGAACTGACTTGATGGCAACAAACAACATGTAATTACTATCCCAATTAAAATAGAAAACATTTGCATTACCCACAAAGTTTCCTTATGCCCCTTCGTAGTAAGTATCCCCACCCTAATAACTCCTATTCTGATTTATCTTGACAGGACTTTGTTTTACCTGTTCTAGAGTTTCCTATAAATAGAATCATACAGTGTGTACTCTTTTGTGTCTGTCATCTTTCACTTGACAAAATGTTTTTTAGACTTCATTCATGTTGTTGCTTTTGTCAGGAGTTCATTCCTGTAGAGGTAGATCTTTCAGTGTAAAGCAATTAGGGAGAAATGAAAAACACTGCTAAATGGACTGCTTTCAGAAGGTTTATTTAATGTACAAACTTTTTCTTCTTGCAAACAGGTTGTCCTGGTGACCGATGGCTGTCTTGGCATTGGTAGAGGGTCACTGAGGCATTCCCTAGCTACTCATAATCAACGAAGTGAGAGCAACAGGTTTCCTCTCCCCTTTCCTTTCCCGTCTAAGTTGTACATCATGTGCATGGCAAATTTGGAAGAGGTAATGCCTTTTACTAAGTTCTTTTTAGTTTGACTAGGTAAATAGGGTTCAATTTATTTTTTAGTATATGCCATTAATATTGCACTGCATATACTGTAACGTTGAACTCTATTGGTTTCAGCTGAGGCTGGTCGCTAAATATATTTGAAAAGATGCTGGGTTTCAAATGCTCCTTGAAGTTCCGGAGCGTTGTCCCTCCTGGAGGAGCATAGCTGGAGTTGTTATCCATCCTACTTGCCACAGAGGCTCTAGATAATGAAGGGTTGAGGTGTTCTTTGTAGTGTTAAATACCTCCTTCACTTAGGAATCCTTACCTTTATTTCTCCGGAAATGTTGACAGAAGTGGGCTTTGGTTTTTTTGGTAAAGTAACATCACCCCAATGTATGTTTTATTAAACACTTTACTTCGCAGTTTTCCCATTTATTTGGGAGTCATTTAGCATTTCTTCACCTTTACAGGTAGATTTTCTATCTGTAAAATGTAGATAATGATGGTTCGTATCAAAAGATGTTAGAAACGCTTTGGAGGGAAGATGCTGAGTAAATATCAACCGTGTCACCTCTGAGAATCTTTGCAAACCAGCTTCTGAATGAAATAGCTCTGCTGGTGGCATTTTCTGTAACATTCCTCTCGGGTAACCTTGAATCAGAATTGTTATAGTTATTTTTCTTCTCGCATTGGCCATAAAAAAAATAATCCCATTTATTGCCTGTGTGATTGTGATGGGCATGACCTTGATGGGCCGGTAAGAATCTGGCATTTTGTGCCACTTTAGAGGGTTCATCTGTTTTGCTTTGTAGCTTCAGAGCACTGACTCCTTGGATTGCCTTGAACGTCTCATAGATTTAAACAATGGTGAAGGGCAGATTTTTACCATTGATGGCCCCCTGTGCTTGAAAAATGTACAGTCTATGTTTGGGTGAGTATGTACCTAGAGCTTTTTTGCCTTCTTTACAATCCAGTATTATAATTTGACATCCAGCCAGCAAGAATACCTATTTTACTATTTCTGATTGAGTCACTTCGTTTTCCCTGTGTCACACATCTTTCAGATAAAGTGAGTGGTAGCAGTGGTTTTTTTTTTTTTTAAATTATTGTGTTTTAAATGAAAGTTTACAATTCAAGTTAGTCTCATACAAAAATTTATACATACATTGTTATGTGACCCTAGTTGCTCTCCCTATACTGTAACAGCACACTCTTCTTTTCCATTCTGGATTTCCCACATCCATTCAACCAGCTCCTGACCTTCTCTGCCTTCTCATCTCACCTCCAGACAGGAGCTGCCCATTTAGTCTTATGTATCTACTTGAGCTAAGAAGCACACTCTTCACGAGTATCATTTTATGTCCCATAGTCCAGTCTAATCTTTGTCTGAAGAGTTGGCCTCGGGAATGCTTTTAGTTTTGGGCTAGCAGTGATTTTTGAAGTTCATTCCCTTTGAAATGAAGCATGACTAAATCTAGACTGCCTGTAGTTATTGACTTCCTCACTAAGTTATTGACGTAGCAATTTCAGAGATTAACTTGCTTTTGGAGTTTTCAGAACTGAAATTTGCTCACCAAAAATATCAGATTTTGTTGTATTTCACAAATGATCAGATCTTCATTTTGGAGTCAACTTGAAGGGAAAACTTGTGTCTGAAAAAAATTACTTTTATATGTATTGTATTACTCTCCCTGTAACAATTAATCATCGTATTCTAGAAAACTGATAGATCTGGCATATACACCTTTCCATGCTGTTCTCAAGTGTGGCCACCTAACTGCTGATGTACAAGTCTTCCCCAGGCCAGAACCTTTTGTTGTAGATGAAGAAATCGATCCTATTCCCAAAGTCATTAACACAGGTAACATTTTTTTTTAAAACCTCCTTCTTACTTTTTCTGTCATCCTTACGTTCCTCTAACTTCTGACTGTTGCTCTCGTCTCTATCCAGGAGGGTTGGAAACTAATGTAAATTCTGAGAATAGGGTGCCATTGTCATCAGTACACTTTGGGCAGGAGGATGCATTGCCTAAGGGATGGCGGATTAGTGGTCTTTCATGGTGAGGTCATGAGTTAGTCTCTCATCCATGCTGACTGTGGCCACTGTCACTAGAGTTGAAAATCATGGCCAGATTCTACTTCGTAATCCAGCAGATCACTAGCATTGAAATCCTTGAGGAAATTCTTAGTAGAGATACTGAGATTGATTGCATCATAGTTATGGTCATTGTCTTAGTTATCTAGTGCTGCTGTAACAGAAATACCACAAGTAGATGGTTTCAACAAACAGAAGTTTATTCTCTCACAGTCTAGTAGGCTAGAAGTCCAAATTCAGGGCGTCAGCTCTCGGGGAAGGCTTTCTCTCTCTGTGGACGCTGGAGGAAGGTCCTTGTCATCGGTCTTCCCCTGGACTAGGAGCTTCTCCGCACAGGGACACTGGGTTCAGAGGACACACTCTGCTCCTGGTGCTACTTTCTTGGTGTTATGAAGTGGTATGAGGTCCCCCTGTTTCTCTGCTCACTTCTTTTATATCTCAAAAGAGATTGACTTAAGACACAACCTGTAGATTGAGTCCTGCCTCATTAACATAGTGCCTCTAATCCTGCCTCATTAATATCACAGAGGTAGGATTTACAACACATAGGAAAATCGCATCAGATGGCAAAATGGTGGACAGTCACAATACTGGGAACTATGGACTAGCAAAATCGACACCATTTTTTGGGGGGACACAGTACAATCTATAACAGTCATATATGATGGGATAGCTTCTAGACTTGGCTATATGACACGTGCTATGTGACCCTGGATGTCACTCCCTCTCTCTAGTCCTTATGGGCAGTGTGAGTAGAATCAACCAGATGGTGTCTAAACTTTAAGCTCTGATATACTGTACTCCTCTAGCCCTCCCGCTTGTATTATAAGAAAGTGATGTGCTACTGCTTTCACCTGGTTCACGCTGCCAGTAGATTGCTCAGGTGAGACTGGCGAAGTGAAGAGTCAAGGCTAACAAGGAGTAGTGGAGAGGAAAGTTGTCTCCTATTGGTGGATGGACTCCTTGGTGAGTGGTGGACACACCTTAAACCTTTTGGGGCTGTGGACCATCTCTGTTCCAGTCACCATTTGCCGCCTCAGTACCTAGCATAGTGTCTGACACTTAGTAGGTGTTCAATAGGTAATTGTTCATTAAATTATTAAAATTGAGTACCCCATTGCTCTTGAGTCAATTCTGACTCATAGTGACCCTGTGGGACAGAGTAGAACTGCCCCAGAGGTTTCCAAGGCTGTAATCTTTACAGAAGCAGATTGCTGCATCTTCCTCCTGCGGAGCAGCTCATGGGTTTGAACCGCCAGCATTTGGATTAGCAGCTAAGCACTTAACCGCTGCACCACCAGTGGTCGTGGTCTTGGGTACAGATTTTCAGGAGTTTTAGAGTGAAGGGCTGCATACAGGTTTTTTTTTTTTTTTACATTTATTGTGCCTTTGCCTCCTAGCTGTCTGGAAATAAGGTATCTCTCTCTTTCCTGTGACTAGACCACAGTGTATTAAGCTGAACTAAATGTTTTGTTGCCCTCTGACCAGTTAGATTCCACTCTCTCCCATCCTTTATTGCAGCTTTATTACTTTCAAGTGCAAACAATAATTTGGGCTTGGCTAACCAAATGTTGCCTAACTGAAGGAACTTGTTTTAATGTATAGATAAAAATGATCTGTAGTTAGCACGATCACTCATGGGTAAGAGAATGCTTCCATGATACATGGAAATAACTTCTCTTACAGAGACATCTTGTTCCACAGTCTGCTTGAGCATTCCGTCTCCTCCCACCCACAGTTCCAGTATAAACTTCACCCCATTCTCCCTAGATCACAACATACATCAGATTAGTGAAACCTGCACTGAATTTTCACCATGTTAAGTAAAGATTTTGGGTTGGTCATAGAGACCAGCCTTTTTCAACCTGAACGTTCTCATCAAGTGTACTAAGTTAAATTAGTGAACTACATCTGGTCACAGTGGGAGTATAAGGACACCAAAAAATTGTGAGCTTGTATCACCTAAATGTTCCCATCCTTTTTT